CTTCTTTCTGGTTAAAATGAAATCATATATGGCTATCAAGGAGTTTTGATGTAATAAAATAATAATAAGCAGCAATTATTAATTTAAAATCGAATTAATAAGATAAATGATAATTAAAATTTGTAGTAAGTTATTGTTAATAATAATAGTTATAATAATAGTTTTAGGTTAGAGAATAAAAGATAAACAGAATTTCTGTTGAAACTAAAACCAACCAACGGGGTCCAACTCATATCGGTTCCAGAACATAGAGATATCACGGGCAGCTGTAGAGCAAACAAGCTTGCCAAGGCAGTCGCTCTTCTCTCTGACATTCACTTCTCAGATATAAGCATAGCCAAGCAATACTGGGTTGACGAACCTTATTGTCATATATCTAGGTTGACTTTGTCTAATTTGGATAAAAAACGCACTAGTCAGCTACTTCAACTAAGGCGGAACCTGCTCAGCACAACAGTATCTATGTTGACGGGCCACTGCAAAATAGGAATGCATGCTATGAGACTGAGTCGACTGAGTAGGATGAAGAGGAGACTGTGTTCTATCTCATGTGCCAGTGCACTTTTTTAGCCAGGATAAGATAAAAAATCTTCGGGATCCATTTTCTTAACGACCTGATCGTGCTTTCATCTTGTAATATAAGGGACTAAGTTAAATTCAAAGAACTGTCAGGTTGGTTTTACTTTACCTAATGGAGGACTTGTTATCTTTTTCGGTATTGATAACTGATCTTTCAGTTTATGTACAAACCACAATGAGCCATTATTTGAGCTTAAGTGGACTTTCTTGGATTCTTGGATAAAGAGTATAGCAACTTTATGCCAACTAAATTGGATGTCAATAGTTAAATATTAATCGTAATATTTTTTAATAAATATAAATTATTATTTTAATAAATAAACCAGGCTCTGAGATAACTTTTCAAGGTACCATGATACATTAGGATTAATCAAGATTGATCCGATCAAAAAATACAGAAAGGATAGAGACCTGAAATTATTTACGAAAATTGAAAGGCTTACCAACACAGCGTTATCGAATCTCAGAACGGTTACATGCTCTTCGGGAGGTGTGCAAATCTGACGTCAATTATTACTTAGTCTGATGAAGTGATAAACAATAATCCAGTCAGGACGTAGCCCCACTCTATGCAGAAACCTCGCAGTTAATAGAGAGTAAAAGTGCTCAAGTGCATTGACTCAACTAGCCTCAACATAATAATAAATAGAATAGCAACTTCATGCCAACTGTTTTGGTTGGCAATATTTAAGTTTTTATTCTAATTTACACAATTTATTGTTTAATACATACAATTTATTATTTTAATAAACTATACTTTTAAATTTAAATATATGTATATTAATATAAACACATATCATATATGTACATTAATTTATTTAATAAATACAATTCATAATTGAATGTTTTTTCAACAAGTAAACAACGCGTATCAAAAGACTTAAACAACAAACTTTGTCTCATTAAGAAAAGCTTCTGCCGAATTTATTTGTTCTATAATGGGTACTTGTTCTACGTATTTCGAAGAATAACGAAGATTTCTATCATCTAAATCTGATCCTTTATACCTAATAAGGTAAGGTCATGTTAAATAAGTATGTTTATGTTCATTTTATTGACTTCAAGTACTTACCTTGAATTTAATATAAACCAAGTATTTTCTTTGTTATTTAAACTATTTTCTACAATTTCACTAGAACTCACTACCTCTTCATTTATAAGCTCCTTTGTTTGTTCATCATCTGGTTTTAATAGATTTCCCATAGTCAGCACTGGGAAAGCATAATATTCTTTATTGGCAGCATAAGTTCTACTAGGAAAAGGTGCTGTAGTTGGTCTATTAGCGTAAGTTGCTGGTTTCTCTAAACTTTCATCCACATAAATTATTTGAAATTGGTCTTCATCATCTTTATAAGACAATTTGAAATTTCTTACTGGTTGCGAAGGTGTTGTTGCTGTTGTGTCGTCCAAAGAATTGTAACGATGATTTCGTAATGGAGATGGTATAACCATTGAGTAAGGTGTGGTGGGCGTAACAATTTGTAATGTTGGTGCAGTTGGGCGCCACTGCACTTCATGTGGAGAATGAAAAGCGTCATAATGTTTGGATGTGCGTTGTTTCTTGGTTGGTTGCACTTGCGTTTCATAAAGCACAGTTGGAGCTGGCGCTGCTGGAGTTGTGGTTGTATAATCTGTATCGTAATCCAAATCACGCGGATTTATAGCTTCGTGTGCGTAAAATGGTATTAAAGTTAAATTAAGTTGTGTTTCGCTTGGTTTGTGAAAATGTTGTACTATAGGCTTTGGACGAAATATGGGTACATTTGGTGGATGTAACACTTCTCCTGGTATTGGTTCTTTCATTGCATATTTACGTTTGCTAAGCATTGTGTTAACGATAAGTTGTCCTCTTGGACCATTATAAACGAAAATGGGTGTTGTTTCGCTTTCAGCATTAGTGGGCATGGTATCAAATGTAGGCATTGCCATGCGTGCAGATTTATGTGGTCTAAAATTTTGTAAATGTTGTCTACGTACATTTTGTTTTTTCTCAGTTTTATATGTTGAACCAAAACCAATATTTTGATTCTTATTATATATATAATGATTTGGTAATTTTTTACGTTCTGGTAAATATGTTTTCTTCTGTACAAATTCTTTCATTTTATCATTTATGCGTTGTTTTGAAGGATTTTTTTTATAAGTGAAAATTGGCTTATGCGTAGTAAATACGCTTTGTTCCAAGTCTTGCAGTGGCACCATATCTTCTAGTATCCAGAGAGGACGTTTG